CCCCAGGAGTTCTCTCCGTCAACCAGTCGCTTGGGAATATAAACAGGCCCGTGGGTCCCGGGGTCTTTCCTGTGGCGCAGACAGTCGCGTCGGGGGTTCTCCAGCTTAACCAGCCTGTTGCCTCCGGAGTGGTTCCTGTCAGACCACCCGTCAGACCGGGCTTTGTTCAGCTTAACCAGCCTGTTGCCCCAGCAGTTATCCCGGTCAATCAGCCAGTTCCGCCTGCAGTTTCTCAAAACACAACTTTTTTGACGGCGGGCTCTATCCTGCGGCAGTTGATTCCAACTGGTAAGCAGGTCAACGGGATACCTACCTACACGCTCTCCCCGCTTTCGGTTACTTTGCCCGTACCTGCTGGTGGTGGAGTAGCAACTGTTACGCCGCCGCAAGTGCCCATCCAACTCATGCAGTCTGGGGCGGTGACTCAGTTGTCCCAGTCGCCGGCGAGCGCACCCTCTCCTCCGGTGGTGCTAACGTCTCACAGCATCTCCTTACCAGCCTCCCCAGCCAGTCCCGAAACAAGTGAGGCCGTCAGACAGGCCAAGCAGTGGAAGACTTGCCCTGTTTGTAATGAGCTCTTCCCATCAAATGTCTACCAGGTGCACATGGAGGTGGCCCACAAACACGGTGAAGTGAAGACTGAGGAAGCCCTGGAACCCGACAAACTGGCAGCTTGCGCGCCCTTTCTAAGATGGATGACAGAAAAGACAGTCCGGTGTTTCTCCTGTAAGTATTTTCTCTGTGAGGAGGAGCTCATGAAACATCTCCTGGTCCATGGCTTAGCTTGCTTGTTTTGCACAGTTACTTTCCATGACATAAAAAGCCTCGTGGAACACAATAAAACTACGCACAACGGGAAAAAGCAGTTACATGCCGATTACAGCAACAGAGGATTTCAGCTAGGTAACGATGCTCAGGGTGACCTTGTGTTTCCACACTTTGATTTCAGCACAGTGTTACCAAAAGAAGAGATTGGTGAAAGAGAAGTACATTTGGCGGTGCTCGCCGGGCTGAATTCGAGGACACTTGTCCCCGTTTACATCAAAGTGAAGCCTCAGGCAGCAGAAGCCAACAGCAGGTGCAACAAGAAAGCGTTGACCTGTCCCTTCTGCCTCGGTACGTTTGTTAGCAAAGAAACTTATGAAACGCATTTGAAAGACCGGCATCACATCATGCCCACCGTGCATACGATTTTGAAGTCTCCGGCTTTCAAGTGCATCCACTGTTGTGGCGTGTACACTGGAAATATGACTCTGACAGCTATCGCCGTGCATCTGCTCCGCTGCAGAAGCGCTCCCAAAAACAGCAACTCCAGCGTGAAGATGCAGCTGGAGCGCGCCGAGAAGAAAGAGCTGCTGTTAGTCAACGGTGAGAAGCACGATTCTGCGAAAAGGAAGCAGTCGGATTCCTGCTCAGTTGCAGAAGACCAAAGGAATAAGGAACAGCAGCCTCTGAGCTCAAGTGCTGGCATAGCTCTGTCTCCAGAAAAAGAAGGGAATTCCGGGGTAGTGCCTTTGAAACGCCAGAAGGTGAATACTAGGACTGAGATGAAGAAGCTTCCTCCTAGCGAGGATCTTCGCTTTCTTGCAGTAGATCCTAAGCCGTATGATTGCAACTCGTATGAGGCTCAGAAACAGTTTTTGACAGACTACTTTCACAAGAGGCCCTATCCTTCTAAAAAAGAGATTGAATTACTTTCCTTGCTGGTCTATGCGTGGAAAATCGATGTGGCGGCGTTCTTTGGAAAAAGGAGGAATATCTGCTTGAAGGCGATAAATAACCGCAAACCCTCCGTGCTGCTGGGCTTCAGTATGTCCGAACTGAGAAATCTTAAGCACAGTTTGAACATAAAAGATGATCCGTTAGATGGGTGAACCAGCCTTTTATACCAGCTCAAAGCGATCCGGAATCGCCCGCCGACCCACCTGGCAGTGTGGGGTGTTCCTCTGAGCTCCCAGACTGGCCCGTTGAAGGGTGCAGTGGTGCAAAAAAGTCTGGTTCCCTTGTGACTGTCCTTGTGAAAGGCACACGCAGTCGTCTGTTTGAAAAAGCTAAAACCTTCAGACTTACACATCTGGAATTTGGTTTAGCTTTTTACTTTTTCTGGAGTAGTGGGGTTTTTTGGGTTGTGTGGTTTTTTGTTGGTTTTTTTTTTTTTTTTTGTTTTGTTCTGTTTCCCTTTCTTCCCCTCCAGGCTCTCGTTATACTTTTTATACCATCATGTAAAACATTTGTCCTGTTAAAACCAAATTTTATTTTATTTTTCTGCAATGTCGTCGTCTTTTCTAAACAATAAAACGTATCATGTTGGTAAAATACTGAGATAAACCACATGAAAAGCATTTATTTGATTTTTTTTTTTTTTTTTGTGTTCTTAAGCCCTCCTAATTTTTCAACCTTTTTTTTTTTTTGTTTTATCTACTGAAGAAGTGATTGTAGCCTTTACATCCATTGGCCCTTCAAATTCCCAGTGCGCTGGTAGCAATAAAAAAGATGGCAATCTTTTCCTTTTCTCAGTCAAAATACCTGTGCCAGTTAAGTCTGGTCACTTGTAGTATCTAAATAGTATTAACATGGTGGGGATTGAAGAGCTGGGGGTGCCTATGGAAGTGTTATAATTAACTGACTTGAAATGGTTGTGTTGTTATCTGTTAAATAGATCTTGCTAACCACAAGTGTTTACTCTGTTTGTGGGTGTTGAAACCTGGTTGTTTAAATACCTGTTGTGGAAAACTTGGGAGCAGCATTTGGTTTCTTCCCGTTTCCGAAGAGCAAAACTGCTTTGGAGAGCGTCAGATGGCTTTGAGACGCGGAGTATGCCACTTCTGTTCGCGTCGCTCGCCTGTAGAAGCCCTCTCCAGATATCACTGGAGTTTGGTGAAAAATCTGACCGTTATTTTAAATTGCTGTTCTGTGGGGTAGTAACTAAGCAGCGCTTCCTCCTCAGCAAATTAGAGCCGTGGCTTGAAGTCCTTTGGGTCACGAGTGGTGCAAACTGAACCTGGATGAATTGCCGGCGTTGAGACCGGACCCCTGAGTGAGTGAACAACGATACTCGTGTAGAGTTTTGTTGTCCTGTAGAGAGCGTAAGAATAGTATAAACCCCAAACAGGCCATCTTGTTCGATACGAACTTGCGTCCCTCTTGCAGAAAAGCTCTTGGGAAGGTTCACTTGAGTTGGCGAACAAACTGGAGTACTGGTGGCCACGTTGAGGCGTTCTTAGTCCTGACCTTCCTTTCTGGATGGGCTTGGTTTCATCTGGCTGGTCAAACAGTGCCTCCAATATTCTTTTTTAGCCAGTTATATAATAAATAACCTATAATACGCATTATTTTTTCTTCCTCCTCTTCATCCCCCTCTCTCCACCCATCTTTCCCAGAAGAAGTAACAGAGCGGGCTCTTCCATCCGTTCACTCGTGCCAGTGTTGCAAGGAGAGGGGGATATGCCCAAGTTTATATTTTTCTAAGTACTAAACATACTTTTGCCCCGTGCAGTGGTTTTTAAAACGGATACAGAATTGTTTTTTGTGCCTTTTCTAGAAGGGGCATGATGTTTTTAGCAGAATTTGGTGACTGTCCACCTGAGGTTCTATAAGCTGTTTGAAATTCTATTTTGGATACAGCCTCGATATTTTCGTATTGATAACTTTGAGGAATTTTAATGTACAGTTAAGTTAAACTTAGAGAATCTGCTGTTGGGAAGAACGTACTCGTTTAATAGCAGCGTTGAACACATGGAAGTCCCATTTATGGGATCATCCGCACGCCCCACCCCAGAGAGGGACAGCGAGTCAGAAGCTGTGTGTTCTTATAGCCTAATAATAGCTCATGAAAAATAAATGATATTTGGGCATAGCACATTCCTGAACCTGTTGGAAGGGCTCCGAGTGAGGAAGAGGGATGCTCTGTAGAAGTTCTGAAATCCAGGCACTCATTTTCCCCTCTTAAAACCTTGATTTCTCTGAGCCTTGTCATCTTTGGGGTCATTCCGCTGGTATCCATGAAACTCCAGCAGGGAGGAATTTGGCAGCGTGCAGCTGGGGAGGGCTTGCCATGAACGGTTAAAGATTGTTCTGGAGAGAACAGCGTGGCTTGGGGTGGGGAGCTGGGGAACCATTTCAGGGTTCATGTGTGCTTGGGGTACCAAGGGAGCAGTCCAGTCTTGCCAGAGTTTTCCTCCATAGTGTCCAGTGGTGATGTTAAGCATTTTATTTATTGGACTTGGATTTCACAGTTTCAAATAAACCAGCTTTCACAGTTTCAAATAAACCAGGTGTGTGTGCAAATGATTACCTATCCCCCCTCCCCTTTTTAATATATTCGGGCAACTTGATGTGGAAGTTTTTCTTTTTGGTATAAAACAGATGTTAAAAGACACAAAAAGAAAGTAAGACCCAGAATTTGGCTCTGGACGCTTTAGGTAGACCTTAGTGCATTATAATTGTATCTTTTATTGTCTCAAATACTGACAGCAGCATGTTTTCCTGGAGACTGATGTTCTTAAATAGTGGGACTAATTTGCAATCACTAAATACTCTCATTAAATGAGGACAGTAGAAACAAAAACCAGATGAATTTTGAAGTGTGAAAGTGGTGACTGAGACAGAGTGTGTTGTTGGGGAAGACAAATCTACCAAAGGAGCTGCCCTCTGCTGCAGACATTCCCAATGCAGGTCCCTGCAGCACGTGGGTGAAGCTCTGGTCCGCTGTAACAGACGTCCAGCTGGGAAGAGCACTGGTTGGTTTGCAGGATCGTTGTAGCAAGTGCTTGTTCCTGTGGAAAAACCAAAACCTGTGTGTATTCTGCTTCTGAAATGTAGGCATTTGGAGAAGTCTCCGTGTTCAAGAAATACTTTGTTGCGGTGTCTCAAGTTTTCTGAGCAGAAAAATTGTGCTTGTGAAATGGTATGAGAAGTTATTTGAGTGTGTAGGAGAAAGGATTATCGTTACCGTGTGCCTTGGTGGTGTCTCTTCTGCATATGTCCATGTGCTGGGAGTTAAGTTAATGTTGTTTGGTGACCAAACTGGTGGTTTGGAAGGGGACAAAACCCAAACCACCCTTCGTGATGGTTTTCAGTACCGTATTCTTGTGTAGAATACTACAATTCACTATTGCATTGACTTTTTTTTTTTTTCCCCCTTCACTGTTCTGAGTTGTTCAGGAAAGCCGAGGGGCTTATTCAGGTAGCAGTGAAATACAATTTTGGGTGTATTTAGAGATATTCCCAGTGAATATCTCTAAAACTGTGATTCTGCTGCAGCTGGCTGTGCCATTTTCAAACACACATTTGTCAAACCTAACAGTGGGCACGTTTTTTTCTGGAAAAGATACTCGATGCTGAGTAGCACAGTACAGATACCTGGAGAAAAAAGTTGCAGTCCGTTAGCAAGGAGGAAAAAACCAAAAACTTGTGCATGGCTTGTTTTAAAGATCAGAAGAATTTTCACTCCTTCCTCCGCAAACATGTATGTGAAAGGGACAAGCTGAGGACGTTGACGGATGAAGCTGAACTTTGTGGTGCCGCGTTTAAAGTCTGACCCACCACCCTGCTTTGGTGCCTACATGTCTCCTTTCTCCTTTCTGCTGCTCTGACTTGGCAGGCTGTGGCCATTTCTCTTTTTACTGAGGTACCAGATCCCAAAACATGTTCCTTTTGGAGGAGGAGCTTGTTCTAAGGCAGCTGCTGGGACTGATCTCATTAATGTTGTTAATGATGCAAAAAGTCAGGTCTATTAACTCGTTAATGGAAGAAGAGCTGTTGGGCAGCGTTGGTGCAGAGAGGAGCTGGTGTCGTATTTGAAGAACTTCAGGGCTGGGACTTTGCATCAGGATTTGTAAACAGGTGTGCACGAAGGTTCACCAGCAGAGGTTCACCATCCCATAAAAACGATTCCAAAATACTAGTCTTCTAAGAAATAAAATGTGAAATGCTTCTACAGAAGCTTAAAAATATTCGTATAAAAATTACTCAAAAAACGGCACGTAAAGAGTTCTGAACGCTTTAGTTTGGGGGATGATGGGATGGCCCAGAACAACAATAAAAACCTCTTAGTAGTTCGAGGCCTCTGGGGGAGCAGAACTTGGCAAAAAGACGTGTTTTGAAAGAGAAAGAAGACATTTTTCTCAGAGCAGATGTTTCTGTGTGCTTCCTGCTGCTTCTGCTGCCCTGAGCCACACGTTCCTCCGGGGCCAGGAGGTCAACTGCTCATGGAAACATAGAAAGTGGTGCTGTGGCTTTGGCGTTTGTCCACGTTCTGTCTGGTTTTGGAGCAGGTGGAAGACACCAGGTCTCTGTTGGTTGTGTGTTTTGCTTTGTACTAGCACCTTGGTGACCAACCGTTGGTAGCTCTGCGTGGTTTTGCCAGCTGGGTTCTCGTGCTGCAGACGGAGTGTTTGCATCACACTGGGAAGTACAGGTTTCTCCTTGGGAAATCCACCGCCGTAAAGCTTCGGATGACGGCGACGTTGCTGTTAGAAGGTGTTTATCCGGTGGGGCCAGCCCTGTTCCTTCTCGGCGGGTGGAAGGAGGTGGATTTTTGAAGGACTTGGAAGGGCTGAGATTTACACGGGCATTTCGGACGGAGACGTTCACAACCCCTAAGGCAGACCCAGCTCGGGATGGATGAGCTGTGCTGGAAATACTCCATTGGTGATGAGCCCTGGGCAGGGCGAGAAGCTCCACAAGGGTGATAAGTATTTGTTTCTTTGTTTTTTTCCCCTCCCTCCATACTGCTAAATACAAATGTACTATTTGTACTCGTGTGACGCGTCAGCTTCTGCTCACCTGTCCCGTGTCCATGGCAGGTCTGAGCTGCAGTCCCCAGCATTGAGTGGTGGCGCTCTGAGGCCTCCGGAAGCGGTGTCAGAGGTCC